AACAATGGGTTTAATTTTTTGTTAATAAACCAATTTTCTGAAAACCGATGCCATTTTTTTAGTTTTCTATACCAATGTGTTCAGAATGTTTTAAAACATTGAAAAATTACATTTTTATTTAAAAATATGTGTATATATTTCACCCGATGAGGATGATATAAAATTCTAAAAGAAAAACGGTGATTTATTCGATTTAATATGATTTAATAAATAAATAATTTTATATAAAATAAGTTTGTTGCGTCTAAATGTTCATACTCGGAACGCTTGAGTTAATTTGCTATTAATTTTCCATTTGATTGACATATAAGCACCGAACTATATGATGTAATTCCGCGCGTAGAGGACTTAAAAGCCAGTATTATGTATATATTGAGTACATACATAACCATAATCTTATTTAAAAAACCAAAAATTTAATATTTTGTAACTTTAATACATAACTGTTTGAATCACTAAAATTACTAAATTTTTTTCTAAGATTGCCTTTTATTTATATTTTATTTATAACAATAAATACCTGAATGTCTTTATGCTCAGCTAATAGCATTAATAGATAGGTTAAATTTAACGCCGTAGTATCATGACCCTGTAATCACATATACCTTATTAGTATACGTTCAAATAATTTATAAAACAAGAAAATTTAGAAATACGTACAGCAAACATAAAACCATCAATTTGCTCCTTGACATCTAAATCAGTTAGACGACCTTCTCGATTGTCTGCTATTAGATGATCCAACAATGAAAGTTGGATCCGTTTTCCATTCGCCTCTGTGTCATTTGTGTCTGTCGATGTGATACTTCTTCTCAATAATCGACCGTTGGTGCGTTCATGATACAGTTTTCTTTCCGCAATAATCTACGTGTATATAAAATCAACACTTTTTTAATAATATTAATATACCAACCACACTAACAAAAAATAAAATAACATTTTTACATACGTGGTTAGTAAATCCATGTAATATTCTTAGAATCTCTGCCTGTTCTTTGCCTTTTGATGTTAACGAGAATATCCAGTCGTTGTGCAACCACTGCCTCAGTAACCTAAACCATAATTACTAAATAATAATCTCATTATAATTATTTATTTATTATTATATTCATAAATTACCTATAAATAAAAAGTTCGCAAATCCGATGAACAGCTTTTCGATATTTTTGCTGGAATTCATCGAGGTCACGTAGAGAAGTACCCATTAAAGTTTCTAAAAAAAAATTTGTAAAAATACAATAATGTTATTGTACATGTTTAGATTTTGAATAAAATGTGTATGTAGTACCGCATATTGCATTCAACGTATGTTCACTAACAAACGGTACTAAATCTTTTACAACTGTGCCTCCTGTATTTTTCAAAGACATTGTCATGTTTTCACCCTCCTTGATCAAAATCTCAGCATGTTGCTGCAAAATATTATAATGAAATGTGGAAGTTAATGTTCTCCGTATTGAATGCCATTTTGCGCCTGAAACATAAACAATAGACATTTCATAGACAAGAAAATTTTTTTGTAACTAAAAGATATTTTTTTAATTATTATTATGTACTTTACCTTCATTAATCAAAATACCATTGCCCATCCATGGACGTAGAATATCATAAAAGAAGTTCTTTTTGATGTGCTGCGTGCTGCTTAATATTGTCTGAAATCATAGAAAATATTCAATTAATTTAGATGCAATGTGAATAATTCATTAGTTTATTTGGAAATTGTCTTATTTAATTATGATCTCTATAAGACTATAAATAAATATGTTTCCGCAAAATAAAACTAAGCAAAATCACACCTAAATACCTAAATCGCTGGTGTATGAACTATAAGAACATTAACAGAAAATTGAATTTTTTTAATATTTTATTACCTTTAAATCATCCGGATGACGAATCAATACAAAGGGGATAGAGAATCCCCAAAGTTTAACAATAGGATAGTACTGGTTAATTAGATTCATCAGTAACTTCCATTGTTTCTCTAAAAAAATGTATATAATACGAATATACAGAAATATATTATAAACATTGATACAAAAATACATGGTTGACTTTATTGTCGTGTAATATATTTTGTCGTTTCTCAATTTCAATAATTAAGAAAATAAATTACGTTAAAAATAATTGATAAACGTAAATAATTATTGCAAGTAATTAGCATACGACAATATTGATAGTAATATATCTTAAACGGTTGAAATGTTTGTAAATATTACTTTTGCGTATGGCTGTAATATGTATACAAATTAAAGAAAACGTTTAATTTATGCAAATTTATGAAAAACTTGAACTTACCTCGTGGGCCTATATATTGCAGTAGATTCCCAAAAATCGGATAACCTGATGGGCCTGGTATAAGATTGATCAATCGCCCATTTCTTCCATAATGTATATAATAATGATACCCCAATACGATAAGTATGAATAATACAGTAATGATGTAAAGAAAACACATTGTTGCTCTGCAAAAAAGATATGTAGTTGCATATTACAAATTGCATAATTTTGCTTCCTCATAGAGGAAGCTTTGTTTTCGTAAAAAAAAGTTTTTTTTTTTAGTTGCCGCTGCCAATGTGTTCCGAATGTTGTAAAACGTCGAAAAATTGCATTTAAAAAAATGTCCGTATGTGTGTGTGTGTGTGTGTGTGTGTGTGTGTGTGTGTGTGTGTGTGT